TGATTCAATAAAACCAATGTCAAACAAGAATATTTTGGTGTTAACATTTCTCCCAATAGCTATTCCTATCAATTTGTTAAAGCTTCCACTCTTTGAGCATTTCCTAAACACTACATTCATTTTCTATCCTAAACACTGAGTTCGTACTAAAAGCCAGACAAAACGGTATATAAAAACTGTGACTCCCCTCCTTTACATAGCTCAAATCAAGGAGAGGTAAGAGCAGCCAAACGACACAAAATCGAGAACACTGCATGCAACTGCTCACTCACTGACACACTGGTATCCACACTGCTTCCCTCCCAATGGCTGCCCTTCCATCTCTTTGGCAGTTCCTGCACACCTAACGTGGGTCACTTCTTTACGTACTTCTTGGCAATCCTATCCGCATTTTAGTTACTTGGGTGCAGGGGATTGAACCTGAGGCCCAGTGGTAAGCACATAGTCTACAACTATTCTTGGCTCTCACGAGCACAACAAATAGCAGTTCTACACTGATACCTGTCAAACTTAATTCCTGCTCACACTACAAATACATGCCATTATACACTGCCCGACTGAACTGTCTCCTTGGAAAGGTTTATCAAGCATGTAAAATTAATAATGTCCAAAGTCAAACTATTGCCCTTGCCACCAAATCCACTGCTCCCACTTGGTCCAGCACAAAACATTATGTTCTATATGTACAACACTGGTGTGATACGGACATTGTAATTTCTTGCTCCAGACAGTATATCAGCTATGTTAGCCCAAAAACTCTGGTGTCACCATGATACATGGCACATACACAGGGCGATAAATCTTCCCTATCTTCCCACTCATACACTAATGCCAGCACTTGGTATCTCAGGTTTCCTCCTTGACTCACTCCTCTGCACTCTCTTCCTCTCCAGCCATGCTCACTGTCAGCACGTGGAGCTACGCTTCTGCTCAAAACCCTGCATAGATGGAAAGATGACTCTGGTTAAGACTATGTACTGCTCTTGCAGAGACCTGAGTTTGTTCCTAGCACCCACATCAGACACCTCATAATCCCCTGTTAACCCCAACACAGTGGCTCTAACATCTTCTTCTGACTCCATGGGCACTTACTCACATGAACACACACAATTAAAAACAATCTCCCAGTGGTTTACCACCTTTATCAGAGTAGCCGTCTCCAATGTAACATACCCACCTAGCCCTCACTCAACTGTCGTCTCTTGTACACAGCCCTTTCACCTAGCTTAGAAGGACGTAATCCACTACCCTCTGCTCACCTGTTCCTGACTAGAACACATTTCCCTAAACACATTAATACAACAGTTCTCAACCTGACACTATGACACTTGAATAGTTACTCATGCTGTGGTGACCCCCAACCATAAAATTATTTTCATTGCCACTTCATAATTGTAATTTTGCTTCTGTTATGAATGCACATATCTATGTTTTCTGATCCCTGTAAACAAGTCATTCAACCCCAAAACATGACCCGACCCACTGCCCTCATGGTATGAAGTCTCGTCTCCTTAAGGGTTTTGCTTTTCAGTGACGTCTTCTTGATGGCCCACTCTAAAATGGAAGCCCTCTGCACTTCGTGTCCTCTGCTCTTCCCCTCTATTTTTCATGCAGGACCATTCAGCTCACCTCACCGGAACACACCGTCTGGGGGGGCAAATATCAGTGCATGCCTATTGTTATATCTCAGTAACTAAAGCAGTACTAACGCACAACAGGCACTCAGTAAACTTACTGCACTAAACACTGTCAGGCGACAAGTAAAGATGTGAGAAAGATGTTAGGAGAGCCTGCAGAAAAGCAAAAATGTCTAACTTCACCTGACAACTCAAGGAGGAAGAGGTAGGTAAGCATGAGAGGCACAGGCTCAGTGATGAAGGATTAAAAGGAGGCCATTTTGCTAGGCCGAAAGAAAGGTAGAAATCTGCTTAGAAGCAAGAAAAAGGCAACATGATGAAGAGATTCACAAACCCCGTTGTGATGGTTTTCCTTTATCCTCAAAGCAAGCGAAACCACTGAGGTGATTTGAATAGGAGTCACGTGAGCACATTTTCAGTTTCAGTGTTGCTTGCCAAGGCTACCTGATAGAGAACAGACCTCAGGGATCAGAACAGAGCAAAAGCTCACTGTGAGGGTTTAACTGTGTTGTCGATGGAATGGATTTCAAGTCACTCAGAAGATGGTGTAGCACATACCTGTCCAGGTGTGTCTGTGAGAGTTTTCCAGCGATTATTAACTAACAGACCCACCCACTCTGAATGAGGGGAGCACCATAGCGTGGGATGAGGGGCCAGCTGAGTGCCAGCATGCCCCTGTCTCTGGTCAACCACTCTGTTCCACATTCCTGCCCCACCAGGCAGCTGGGCCTCTCTGAAACCACAGCTTAAATCTTTCCTCCAGAAAGTTGGTTCTGTTGGATATTTAGGCACAGTGACAAGAAAAGTGACCAGTACACACACAGATGAAGTGAGAAGGCACTGTTGTGACTCAGTGGGAAAAGATGGCTTCTTAGACTGTGGTGCTGATAGCAGAAAAACTAATTATTTATGAAGGCAGAACAAAAATCAACAGAGCTGGGTGCAATAGTGTCACCTATAACCCTAGCACTTAGTAGGTGGAGAAAGGGCTATCAGGAGTTCCTGGTCTCATGTCTTCAGCTTTATATATACTGAGTTCAAGGCTAGCCCTGGCTACCTAAGACCTTGTTTCAAATAGGGTGGGGGAGTGGGAATCAAGGAGATTGTGCTAAATTTACTGAAGAAATGAAGTCAAGGGAAACTTGAAGGTTCACAAAGTATTGTTCAGTATCCAAAGAGACATAATAAATCCTTTCAGAATGGAAGTCTATCTCTTCAGACAACAACCTAGTGTACAATCTCTATGTCACTAGTCTTAAGTCCTACAGACACCTGAAAGGAAGCTACTCCAGGTAAAAACATGCAGTAATCTAAAGACAACTCTGGGATCAGAAAGCTTAGCATAGGGGAAAAGGATAAAATATCTCAATAAAAATCTTATGTTGGTTACAAGCTGAAATACTTGAATATCACAGGTTAAATAAAACTACCCACTGATTTCCCCTTTTTATTTTATAAAGTGGCTACTACATAATGCACCGTTCAGTAAACAACACTAGATTTCCATGAAAGAGCAATGATGTACTTTAGTCAAAAGAAAAATGATTCTTAGAAGACTTATATCCTGGGGTATGTGGTGGGGTAATTTTTGTCAGTAACAGAAATGAGTCAGTCCTCCAGGTTGGTTTTTTTTTTGTCACTGAAATATAAAAGCCATTCCCTGTTTGCCCATTATTTATAGAGCACACAGTTCTCCTCTGTCCACTATTAATCCAATAGCTCTACTTCTGAACCATTCTGCAAGGTAGAAAAAGACAATCAGAGGCTTGTGGGACACGTCAGGGGCCCAGAGAACATGCAGGCAGCTCTCACTTCACTTGATAAGTGGTAAACTCGGGGTATTAACACATTAAGTAGCCTACTTAGAAAAAAATCAAAATAACCTGTTTACAGTTCAGATGTAATGGATTTATTAGTTATTACAGTGTTCTGGGTCACTATAGATTGTATATAACACAACAACTACTGCATGTTATTCCCCAAAGAACCAACCATCAACTATCAAAATGGTTTTTTGTTTGGGGGACAAAAATCAAGTTATAGTCTTACCCACTAAGAGCAAAAACTGTCTTCTTAGAATCTGAGCCAAATGTCAAAGCTAAATTATATTGGTATAGTTTGGATTCAACCTGATGTGTCCTCAAAAGCACGTGTGCTAAGGTTGAGTCTCCAGTGTGGGGGGATGGAGAAGCTTTAAGAGGAAGTCTTGTATAAAGCAGTCAGCACATAGGAGCACACCAGGACTGAGTTGGCTCTCTCCAGGACTGGGTCATCCTAAAGACAACCACACTTGGCCCCTGTTGCACATGGCCATGTCCCTTTCTACTTTTCGCCACATTTGAGACAGCCCATGGGGCTTTCATTTAAGGTCCAAAGATAATACCTCCTGGCCCTGGACTTTCATCCCCTAAAACTATACCTAAATAAACCTTTTCTATAAAAGTACTCAGCATCACACATTTTGTTACAGCAATACAAAAGAAACGTAGACAGTTGTATATAAAAAAATAATTACCACTATTCCCTGATCAATAAAGCAAAAATATTACTATACACAGGTCTTAAAAATGATAAACTCTTTTGGGCATGTCAGCAAATGCCTTTAATCCCAGAAAATGCCTTTAATCCCAGCACTCAGAAGGTAGTGGCAGAGGGATCAGTTTGAGGCCAGGCTGGTCTACAGAGCAAGTTCCAGGACAGCCACAGCTACACAGAGAAACCCTGTCTCAAAAGACCCCCCAAAAGATAAACACAAACACACACCCACACCCACGCTTATAGTGAGTGAGTAGATAGATATATACTATCAGTTCCTTTATTTTTATTGGGGGAAAATGTGTTTCTTGGTCCTCCTCTAAAGTGTTAACACAGGGGCTGCCCAAATCTAGCCACCTGAGTCCAAGCTCCACATGAAGGTAGAAAAAGAAAACTGATTTCATAAAAGTTGTTCTCTGATCTGCACATGCCTCCACACCACACCACACATGAGCACACACAATAATTTTTAAAAATTAAATAAGCTAAAATAATATAGTCACATTATATGAAATTCAGGTTATGTCTAATTTTCACCTTCCCATTAAAAAGCTTCAGTGCCCTGAGTAAATCAATTAACTTGTATAAGTCTATTATGTCCTTCAGCAATGACAGCAAATGAGCCCAGTGATTCAAGTATCCCATTCATGATAAAGAATGTACTCTGAGGAACACCACCTGAGTCTCCAAGGTCAGAATAAACACAGGGAAGGTACAAGCTTTGACATTTAATGATTATATGAAATATGATTTGGATCTCTTGAACATCTTAAGACACTGTGGTTAATTATTCTCTATGTTTACAGGAATATTCCTAAAACTACTTACATCTGGCTGAATAGCTTTAAACACTGGGACATCCATCAGCGTTATCTGACCCTGAAAGACAAAAAATGGGGTTTGTTTTGTTTTGAATGCCAAGTTCTCCGGGACCCTATGATACAAAATTTATTCAAAATAAATCTCTACTCCTTACTAAATTACTAAATACATAGTCTTTAAGGACTTAACGAAAGTAGAAATTGTAGTCTTTGTGCCATGAAATATAATTACTCCTAGGTACCATACTCAAGGCTGGAAAAGGAACATATTTTGGCATTATCATCCATTAAATGGATCATTAGGTCTCTCAGCATCAAGACTGATGACCTAAATTCAGGACCCGAGTTCAAACCCTGGTTCCAATATGGCAGAGGCAGAGAACCAACTCTGAAGTTGCCCTCTGACCACACCCACCAACCATGGTGCATGTGCCCCTTTCTCAAACAAATAGACAGATATATGTATAAAAACAAACAAACACATTTAAGGGAAGCAATCAGGCAAGGGGAACACATACTACACACAAGAACACTATTCCTGGAATGCAAAGTGGTTCCAGATCAAAAAAGCAGTTTATTCAGTTAACAAAAGGAAACCAAATACCTAAATAAACAAACACTTATGTCAGCTAAAAAGATTTGCCAGGTAATTTGAGAAAATTCTAGATATTCCAATGATTGAGAAATACCATTTCCCAATTTCTAAATTTACAAAACAGCAAAAAGAAAATACTTTTGGATACAATAGGTGGCTTGAGTCAGCAAAGGCAGTGATCACACCCGATTTTTAACAAACAGAAGGGGTAACAAGAAACTGCCCTTTAAAAAGAAAGTTGTCCTTCCCTCCCACCTCCTCCTTCGCCATACTTGTGCTATTCTCCAACTCTAACTCAGTAATAATAGTAATACAAGTATGTAAACTACATGCAAAAACTGAAAAGCTGGAGGCAGAAAGCTTACCGCGTACTCTTCTGGTGTAACCTTAAGCACATCAAATACCACAGCATCAAAGCTTTTCTTCAGTTCAGAGCCCTTGTCACTTAACGACTCAGAGCTGCTGCTTTTCTGTCAAGAAAGAAAGCACAGCCTTTAAACACCATCTCAGTCTGTGTCACACAAAGCAAACAGGCTGTTCTGGGGCTGAGGGCATGGTCAGTTGGTAAAGCATCTGCTATATAAACTTGAGAGCCTATGTTGTAAAATGTAGGCAGAGTATGCACTTCCATAGCCCCAGTGCTGGGCAGTACCCGGAGAAAAGAGGATCCATAGAGTGTGTCAGCCAGTCAGACCAGCTGAATCATGAGCTCTGGGTTCAGGGACAAATGCCCTCAGAATGGAACTGGAGAGTGAACGAAGACACCTGTTTCAGCAGCTGGTGTCCACTTGCACAAGTATGAGCACATCCACATGAGCATGAACACACACACACACAGAGGAACTAAGAACACTAATAATAAGAGATGCAGAAAAAAGCTGAGCAGAGCACGCTGCTTAGTTGGAAGAATGCTATATAAACAGTCAGAAAATTTGAAAACTAATGTTGAGTTTCAATTTTTTTAGGTTCTTATGTAAGTCACTCTTGTATGTCTGATTTTAGCTAGTTCTGGCATGAGGTAAAGAAAAGAGACCACTGTATACCCACAGGCATGCATCACTTAACAATGCAGATATTGCCAATTTCTGTTAAACAATCTTGTCAATTTTATCACAGTTTACTCACATAATCTACAATGGTTACAACATGATCATGGCACCATTACTATACATGAAGTAGCTATTGACCAAAATGCCATTATGCAATGAATGACTGTACTTATAACTTTTAAAATTAGAAGAAACAGAAAATACTCTTATAACATAAACCACAAGAAAATATTTAGAACTCCATTTATTAAACAATGGCATAAGTCATTCATACATGTTGATATATGTTAATGGCTAGCCTTGGTTGTCAAATTGACACATCAGAGGGAACTTAAAGAATTGCCTCCATCAGACTGTGTGTTGTAGGCATGGCTGTGGGACATTTTCTTATTGCTAACTGATGCATATTCTCTTCGTTGGAAGCAAATCATAGGTCCTGCCCACACTGAGGGGGTGAAATTACTCAAGAATGTTTTTATTTTAAAATGCCAGATCTTATGGAGCCCAGGCTCACCCAAGCCCAGTGTACAGCTGATGCTCTTCTGCCTGTTTTCCAGATGCTAGGATTATAGCCATGCCCTGCTCTGCCTGCCTCACTTTCCTGGTTTTTTCCTGGTTCATTTAGCTGAAATTAAATAGCAAGTAGTACTCTTTCTTTTATGAACTGTTTGTGTGTGTGTGTGTGTGTGTGTGTGTCTGTTCTACAAGCGTTCAGATACCCTTGGAGGACAGAAGAGGGGTCAGGCTGCCTGGAGCTGGAGTTATGGGTAGTGTGAGAGAGGCACCATCCTTGGGCAAATGGGTCTGGACTAAGAAAGCTGGTGGAGGAGCCTGGGAACAAGCTAGTAAGCAGCTTTCCTCCAGGGAATCCACTTGAGTTCCTGCTTCCAGTTTTCTTCCTTGCATTCCTGCCCTCTCGCTCTGTAAACTGAAATAAACCCTTTCCTTCCCGAGTCACTTTTGGTTGTGGTGTTTTATCATGCCAACAGAAAGCCTAAAAGCCACAGAAGACATTAAGGAAAACATCAGTTGGTTCAAGTTAAGTATTTTATCCATAACATCACCTTTAAGGAAATCTGCAGTGATGTGTTAAAAATCTAAAACTTAAAATGAAGCAGAGAAAACATGTTTTTAATTTTGTCTTGCCACAGTACAACTATTTAAAGGTAGACCTCTTTAACCTTCCTTCTCATATAACAAAGTACATTACTCTAAAGCCTAATGTAATTCACTTACTTTTAAGAGGAAAAAACAATGTTTTGTACAACATTCTCTTCTAGCTCAGTAAGAAAATCTCCCCAAAAGTAGGAAATGCTGAAATTATTAATTATTCAAGATTTGTAAACAAAGCAAGAAATGGTGAGGAAAAATGAAGTCACAACACATAAAGCACGAACTGACTTTCTGGCTCAGTCCTGACGTCCACTTCAACTGCGCTTGTCCTCTTACAATCTGATCAGCCATAGGCTTAAAGTCAAAGTCTAGAAGGCACCTAAAGGTTCATGTGATAGAAGAACACCCCAAAACAGTTTCAATGCTAATCAAGAGTGTTAAGCAATCATTTTTGTCCTTAGCATGTTAATTGCATCATACAAGTACTTATTGGGGGTTTCTTCTTCTTCTTCTTAAAGTCGGGCATAGTGACTCATCTTTAATTCCAGTACATAGGAGGCAGAAACAGGCAGACCTCTGTGAGTTCAAGGCCAGCCTGGTCTGCACAGTGAGACCCTGTTTCAAAACAAATAAATAGACAAACAAGCATCCTTTAAAATGGCTCAGCAGTAAAAGAGCTTGCTCTCCGAGCATGAGGCCCTGATGAGGCTCAGCAACATATAAAAAACCAGACAGGGCCAAACATGCCTGCAACCCCAGCATTGTCTGTCTCATGGCAGTAAGGCATACTCAGGCACATGAACCTGTACATCCATCTGTCTACAACACACGCACACACACGCGTGCACACACACATGCTAGCGCACATATACTAGTCCTCAGAAAAACAAATACTGCATGCTTTTCTCTGATTATGAAGAATCCACATTTAAATATAAATATGCATGTATCTGTATAGAACAGGAAGGCAGAATGGGAGCTATTAAGTGAGAGTAAGAAGCCTATAAGGAAGGGAGGAGAAAATAAGAGAAAGCAACGGGAGGGGACAAAGGCAAACTCTTTCGCATATGCAGAACCTAGGCATGTGTGTGTGATCAAAGCTGAGGGGGACCATTTATAAGAGGGACGGAGACTAGCGAGCAGGACAGGAGGGAAGAGACAAACATGAGCAAGGCACAAAGATACTTAACAACAAAAGCTATTACTTTGTATGATGACTGAGAAAGAGTAATTGGAAAGACAACTGTAGAAGCTAGCTAGTTCTATGCTCACATTGATTTTAAAACCAACTTTAATGTTCAGAACTTTAGAAACCCAGATAAGAAACTTTGTAATGAGGTCATTGCATGTCTTACCTCGGAAACAGTGGCTGCGATATTAACACTGCTTGCCTGCCCGTTCATTAGGTCCATGCTTCCCTCATCAGTCCCTGATCCTATATCAACAGCAACAGGTCTGATTACTTCATGTCCAAGGCCACAAATACATTATTCCTGTTAGGAAAAAAGGAAAAGAAATCAAAATGTGTGTCTTTGTCTAAGCTCACCAAGACAGCCATGCCCCTGCCGCACTGGGAAAGGCTATCAGAGTCTACTAAGTTCTTGTTTTCACTAAGCCACTGTGTTCAAAGATCAGAAATACAAAGTGTGTCATAGTCGCTTCAATTACAGCAAAACAAAGTCCCACTTCACTCAGTAAGTGAATATTGTGAGGGCAAGACTCACACTGCATAGCATTTTTAGTTTTAACTAAATAACAAGTATGTGAAACATTTGGCAAAGTGATACATCCCGGAACTCCGTGATGGTCTCAAGATTCAGATGCCACCTCTAGATTAACAATACTGAAGAAACTTGACATTACTGCTCTACCAAGATACCACAAATACTCAAAAATAAAAAAGATTATAGGACATGTCACCAAACCACAATACATGGTAGGTTCATTTGTGTTGCTGAATATCCTCAATCTGTTATCTCACTGAAAACATGGGTAAAGAAAAAACTCTGTACTTTCAAGTGTGACAACAACGCCATTACTACTCCCATATAACACAAAGGACAGCATCTGAGGACACTAACAGGCAAGAGAGGAAGCAGAATATGACTCAGAACATTTAAAACTCCAGCCAAATAATCTCTGCATTGACACTGTTGTTTCTTTCCACTTCACTAAGAGCAGAATATCCACTTGGGATTTTACTGGCTTTCCCAAACAATACACCATAATTTCTTCTTTTCCATAAATTGGCAGGGGTAAACAGACTTCCAAACTTAAATGTCTTTCTTCAAAAGAGAAACTGTAAGTTAGGCATTCTACACTATTTACCTGGCAACTGAGTAGGGGGAACAGTGAGGCAGGCAGGCAGGGACACAGCTCAGCAGTAGAACATGCGTGCAGTGTGAAGACCTAGGTTCAACTCCCAGTACAGACTCCTCTGCCACCTCCCCAACAAATCACGAGCTTGCCGTCTACATCTGAATGCAACAAATCAACTTTCTGTAGTTTCCTCATATATAAGATGGGCAACAGTGCCTACTTCACAGCGCTGTGGTGGAGAAACTGAGCTAATACGCACTGACACATGGTGCATATGCTCCTACAACAATGCAGCGAACATGCAATTCCTCAATGTCTATTCAACTATATAGTGTAAATGTGGTAGCTTTCTAAATAAATAAAAAAGACAGAAACTCAATACATGGCTGGCAATCAGAGTATATCTGGTGAGCAGCATGAAAATCCTCACATGCGAGGATTAGGAATCTGTTTCTTAGATGAACCAAAACATGCTCCTGGGGTTTCAAATTATAACTAAGGGCAGTAGCTTTCAAGAATGTGTTAAATTATCTTCATTTCTTCAGATTAGCCTTAGCACCTCCTAGGTGCTACAATTTTTTAAAATATATTTGAATTGGTAGAATTTAGAAGCCATTTACAAAATTAATATGAAATCAAGAGCATAGAAACTCCTTCTAGCTCACACTGTCTCCCTGCACAGGCTCCATTATCCTTACGATATACTAAGGTTAAGGCTGTCATTTGCCCTACTACACTACAAATCAAATTGTGATGGGCATGGTGATTCATATCTGTAACCCCAACCTGTGAGGCCAAAGTAAGAGATCACAGCCCTAGACCAGTCTGAGCTATATAGAAAGTTCTAGGCCAGCCTGGGCTACAGTGAGAGCCAATCTCAATAAATAAATATTTTAAACCCAGTTTTATAATTAATTATACATTAATACAGTTGAATCAGGTTTTCTTGGCCTATTTTCAATTTTAGTCTCAGAGAGGGAGAGGGAGGTGTATTTGCATTCTGAATCAGAATCTTACTCTGCAGACCAGACTGATCTAAAACTTACTACAGAGCCTAAGCTGGTCTCTGATTTTCTCTGGCAATAACGCTTATTATGTAACAAAATGTTTTCAAATGATTTCCTAGCCTTGGGGGGGGGGGGCGGGGGAGACAGGTAACAAGAATTTGTAAGTCTAAGAGCGCCCCCTACTGTTAGGAAAAACTGACTTATTGTATCTTTAACCTATTTTACATGTTGGATACATAGAATTTACTATTTACTAAAAAAAGGTAATACAGACAAGGACAAAACGTTAATATATTTGAATCATGTTTTCTTTGCTTTCAATGTGTGTGTGTGTGTGTGTGTGTATTGAAACAGATTCTTTTCATAATCCAGATTGGTCTACAATTCACTGTAGAATGTAGGCTGGCCTCAAATCTAAGGCAATCCTCCTACCTCATGCCCCATGTCTGGCTTTGCCAATTTTTGTTATTAAAATATTTCATGAAAACAAGTTATATTAAAATCCATTATATGCGAAACTAAACGAAACATGGTTTATTCTTTTGGCATGCATCTCCAAGACAAATTAAATAAATGTCTTATATATATATTTAATTTTACTAGGGATATAAAGTGGCACATGATTACAAATATTACAGTAACTATTTCTTAGTTAAGTTCACTAATTTCAACTTACTCTCTTTTCTAGTTCTGAAGATATTTATTCTGGCTGTCTTCTGAGTTCTTTCCAACCAGCAATATGAGCCCCCTAGTAGGAAACCCTGAAATGTGTAGACTCATATCCTTGCTTGAGTTCACAATCCAGATCATCAAACTGCAGACAATCAACCACTTAGCCTCCTAACTGCTCATCTTTTCAAGGGTACTTCAAATACCACACCAAGGATTTTTGTCTTTTCCTTTAATAAACAAACACAGGATTAAAGCTGATGGGGAAATACGCTATTAATCAATCTCAGTGCACAGATGCATAGTTTTTCCTAAGATGATCTGTGCTGTGAGTATTACAGACATCTTAACCATTTTTACAAAGCATACACTTTTGGTGTTTTCAATGTCCTATAACAAGGAAACTAGTGTGATACACAATGAATTGGTGTGGTTTCTTTGGAACTATTTGGACAACCAAACATCACTGATAATCGTAAAAACCACATATAACTAAACTTTATTTCCTTTAGCATCCGAGGCTATACGTACACCCTTCTCTGTAATTGCCACACTGTAATACTCTCATTAGGGAATAAGAATAGCAGACACTTACTGCTATGGTCGGATGTCAGACACCCACTTCTTGAATCATCAACTCCAAGTCAAGCACTGTGTAGACAAGCCTCCAGTCTCCAATCTATCAAGGGTTCAAGGCTTCAGCTGCCTCTCCATCTCTACTCTAGCTGCAGTGTTTACACAGTTTATACAGAAGACTTTTAGTTTAGACTGTTGGTTTTTAAATTTTCTTCCTTTTCTTTTGAGACAGAGGTTTCTCTGTGTAGCACTGTCTGTCCTGGAACTAACTCTGTAGACCAGGCTGATCTCTAACTTGGACATCTGCCTGCCTCTGCCTCCCAACTGCTGGGATTAAAGGCAAGTGTACCATTGTCTGGACATACTGTTAGTTTTCATTCTTCAACACCATTAACTGTCAGCCTCATTCCCTTACTCATGCGTTTAATAATGTATGCACACTATTCATTGACCAGCCAAAATGTGGTGTACCTGTGAGTCAGACCAAAATATGGGTCGCTCTTTTTATAGAATGATTTCTACCATAATTATGACTGCTTTGTGGCTGCAGCATTTGCATAATCTTCATGAAAGTCTGCGAGTCCTGTGATTCCCAGTTTGACTCAAATACTATTAGACCATCTGGAGTTGAGCAAAATCTGTTTCTGCTTTTAATGGAATTTATGTAAAATGATATCCCATAATTTAAATATTCAAATAGATTATTACAAGTAAGAAATTTAAGAAATGAGGCGAGTTAGATGGAGAGGCAACTGCCACACAAGCTTAACAATTTAAGTTCAACCACAAGGAACCTATGTAAAGATAGGAGAAACAAATGCCTCAAAACGGTACTCCAGTCTTCACACAGCCTGTGGCATATGCACACCAATAATAATTAAAAAGCTGTGAGGTGACATTCTTAGACTCTTTGGTATTTAAGTTATGACAGGTAGCCAGCTTTTCTTCAACATTTATTTTAAATAACATTTAAAGTTACACTTTCTGCTACTCATGGAATCCCAGAGTGTGAGCAGTCTGTGCCCATGCACTAAGTCGAGCCTACTCCTACCATGTGACTTTACCTTTTTTTAATCTAAGAAAGTAAGATTGGATTAGTCCCGGATTACAATATTTTTGTTTTTATAATTAGTCACTAAAAATGCTGAGTACAATTGATATTGAACTGTTTATGACAAAAGGTTAATAAAAAATGCAGCTGCCTCTTAAGGCCATTTCTGGTACAGTACTAAGTGATTATTTTTGCTATTTAGAGTTCACAAAAAGCTCAATTTATTTTGATAGAAATGTCAAAAGAATGAGTTCTGATAAAGATCTGGGTTATAGAAGATTCCCTGCCCAATATCTCCTACAATGTCATTTTCACACTGTTTATGTTATCATTCCTTAATGATAATTTTAGTTTCTTAATGTTAAAGACCTACCTATGTTTTAAAAAAAGAAAATAACACACCATTATCCTTCATCTTTGCATTCATGTACATATAGCATATTTCACCTCAATTATCTACTTAATAAATATCAGTTGAAAGAATGAGAATGCCTAAACAAAGCAATCATTCATAAGGCAAGATTATATAAAAGTCAGATGAGCAGTAAAAGGACTGGGCAATAGTGATCAAATATGACACACACAAGATCATAAGATGACAGGTAAGATTTGGTCATTTAACTAGCAAAGGATGATGACCAGGCAACAGAGTTGACAAAATAATCTAAAAACTCGCTGAGCTTCATGAGAAATTTAGAACAAGAACTTGAATTCGAGTCCCAGTAGAAGAGAGATAAGAAGAGAACTACGCAAATAACTCACTCTCTCCTTCCCACCCCACCCCCACCCATCTCCGTTTGAGGTAGAGCCAGAGAGGTCAAAGCTGGGCCCAACACTGGGAAGATGCTCTGGGGGAAACTGTCTTGGCATA